AAGCCCTTACGGTTATTTTCCAGGTGGGTTTTGTAAATATCATCTGGCACTTTGGGCTCCATGATGTCCAGCTAAAGAGATAAGGAAGAAGGGGGTTACCTCCTGGCCAGCACACGTCAGAGCAGCTGCCCTACCACAGCAACCTCTCCTGGAGGTACTTTGGAAAGCTTATAGGGATGAAAGATCTCTTCCCAGATCTTGTCACACTGCTCAGCAGCCAGGGCAGCCACAGCTGGAGGCAGCCTCACTTTTTTCCCAGCTGTGACACTCACCTCTCTGGCCAAGGCCAGGAAGTTGCTGTTGAGCTGGACATTGGACATTATCTCAGTCAGGTCCTCATACTCCTCCACATCCTCATTCAGCTCCAGGAAGACCCCATGGCGGCCCAGCATAAAGGCCATCTGCTTCTGCACAACTCTGCACAGAAGGGAGAGGTTTCACAAGTGCCCACACCCCAGGACACCCAGCACAAACACGCGTTCACCACACAGTGAGCCAACCTGCTGTGCTCTAGAAGCACGCAAGAGCAGCCTGTAGGTGACCCACTCTTGCCTGTCTCGATTTCAGGGCCAAAAGTCTCAATCCAACCCCCAGACAGCTCAGGTGGTGGCAGGATCCAACACAACTCTGCCTAGACAGGGAGCTGCACCCCACCACAATGGGTGCAGGCCGTGGAGGGCAGGGAATCGGTGTCCACTTACACATCTTTGCAGGAGGTGAAGATGTCCTCCACCAGCTCCACGTCATTGAGCATCAGAGCCAGGCGCAGGGCTTCAGGGTAGCGGCTGAACTTGCGGAAGATGCCCAGAGCACAGCGCAGGAGAGCCGAGTTCTCGGGCTCTGGGACATAGCTTACACAGCTTTGAGGAGGGAACAAACATGTCAGGCAACCTCAATCCAGTGAGTGACGAGGCCCCCTCCAGCAGTGCTGAGCCTCCTCACCTGGTCAAGTAGAGGCACACTTTGGAGTAGGCATTGTCATCAATGTACTTCTCCAGCATGTCCATCTGTTCAATCTCCATGAGCAGGTCACAGGCCTCATGCTCTGCATTGTGGGCCATGTTGTAGGGAACGATCTCCTTGACAAGGGTGAGAAGCGTGTCCCTCTGAGCCTTGTCATTCTCATCAATCTCCTGCCACTCTTTGGCCACCTCCCCTGCCAGATGCCTGTGCAGACAAAGGGTAATCAACACCGCAGAAACCAGCTTTATCAGCCCAGGGGTAGGGAGCAGCTGCTGCCAGTTAGTCAGGGCTGTGTATTGCTTACTGGGGCTCTATACTACTGCAACATCTTATGGGAGACAAGCCCAGAGAAGGAATAAGGTTAAAAGCAGAGATTACAGAAGCCACAGCAGCGAGATCTCTGCAGCTAGCAAATCACTGTGGATAGAGGATTTGCAGGCATGAAAGGGGCAGCTGAACACAAGCCCAGCAAGTCAGGACATGTCCCAGACAGGCCAAAGCACTCAGGGAAATCCCCCCAAGCCCTCGTCTTCCCCCAGGTCCTGCTCCCACCCAGGCCTACCTGACATATTCGTGTCCCCAAGATGCCAGCTCCTCCTGGGAGCCCACCAGCCGGTACTTCAGACACTCACGCTCCCCACTCATGGTCATGGCCAGAACAGAAATGATGTCTGCTGCAAAGCGCTGGGGAAAGAGTGCAGAGGTCCAGATACAGGCCAGGCACAGGGAAGCAGGGGCAGCCAGGCACACAAACACCCTCCCCACACCCACAAGCCACCACAGGTGGCAAAGGCACAGCTCTGGCAAGTTATAATCCACTGGAGCAAGTCACAGAGGCTGATGTTAGACCACTGGGTCTGGAGGGCTCTACAATCACCTGCCCTAGCACTGCCCCTCAGGCACATCGGATGGTGGGGCCAAGAGCCTTTACCTTGTTCTCTCCTGGAGCCATGTTCTCATAGATCTCCTTCAGCTTGCCATAATGGGGGCGTAGGAACTTGAGGGGTTTAGGAACAGAGGTCATGGAGGTAGTGGAAGAGCGGATTTGCCTCCGCAGCTCCTCCAGGGCTGGGCGGTAGAGGGATGTATCTTTCTCCTGCAGACAGAAACTGCCTGTCAGGGAGCAGGGGCTGGTTCTCTCACCACCACCCCACCAGCAGTACCCAAACACAGCCACAGTCTCCAAGCAAAGCCACCCCCTGCCTTGGGCTGCCTCCTTCAGTCCAAGTACTGGGGAGGGAGAGCACAGTGGGGCAGAAAGCCACCCACACAAGACAGAGCAGAGGTCCCTTGGGCACAGGTCAGACAGGCAGCAAGGTGGGGGGACAGACCACAATGAATAAAGAGAAGCCCCACTCAAGGCCCATCTCCATTGCACAAGAAACAACCAGGGACAAATGGACAGAAGCCACAGTCAGGTCTCCATGCTTCACAGCTCCTCCTGAGGGGCACGGCACAGACTCACCCCAAGGCGCTCCACCAGCATCTCCAGCTCATCCTGCAGCTGCTTGTCCTCCTCGGACTACCGACATGCACGGGAGAACACAGCGTTAAGGGTGTCCGGCACAGCGTGACAGGGGCATCACCTGGGCCGCGGCGGGACCAGGGCACAGCGACACCCCAGTGACACTGGACCCAGACCCTCTGCCCCAGCACCCCCCCGAGCCAGAAACCCATCAACTGCATCACGCGGGACCCCCAAAAGGTCACGCCCCCCCCGCCGGACGGGAGTGATCCCCCTCCCCTCGGTGACGTTACAGACTCCCCCGCTCCCCCGAGAGGAATCCCCTCACGCCGATGACGAAAGAAGCCGGCGGTGACGCCACGGGAACCCCCGAAGGGGTGCCGGCCTCCCTCGTGACGTGGGATGACGTCCCGTGCCGCCGCTCACGCGGGCCCAGCCGTGCCGTGACTCAGCTGCCGGGCCCGCAGAGGCGGCGAACGCTCACCAGCTCCTGCTCCTTCTCGGGCCCCACGGGCTGCTCCCGGCGGTCCCGGCCCCATGGCGGCGTGTGCTTCTCATCGCCGCCCGACCCGGGACCGCCCTGCACCCGACTCTGCCCGCCGCCACCTCCCGCATCCATGGCCTCTTCACCGCCTACCAGCCGCTCCGCGCCTGCGCCCCGCACATGCCCACAGCCAATCACTGCCCGGCGCCGCCGTGACGGCACCGTCGCACGCCGGAGGAGTGGCGCGGGGCGGGGCGGTCCCACGTGTCGCGGTGCTGCGCTGGGCACCGGCCCGTGCACCGGCGGGAGCGCCCGCAGCCGGGGCCGGAGACCCAGAACTCCGCCACCTTGACACGGGGCACTGGTGCCACCAGAGCCGGGCAAGTGAAGTAGCACTGCCCGGGGCTGGCGGGCTCGGTGGGACCCTAGCACGCCACGAACACCCGTGAGCACCCCTGTGTCCTCCACCCCTGCACACACACACACACGCTTCCTGCCCACCCGTGCCACTCTGCATCCCCGATCCCCCAGGTCAGGCAGCTGGCACTGGCTGGCCGAGCCCCACCGGGCACCCCTGGCTGTGCTCCCCGGGGAGCCCCTGAGCAACGGGTGTGCTGCCAGGCATCTCCCATCGACCTCTTTTCAGGCTGCACTGCAGGACACGCCCACAGCTACTGCGTGTCCTGCACCCCGCAGGGTATGGGGCACCCTACAAGGGTATCTGCACTCGGACGCTCCAAACGTCGCTGCCCCACAGGCAGCACCCTGGGCACCTGGTAGGTGACCTGCCGGTCCCACCTTGCGCATTCAGGCAGTGGTGCAGGGTCGGGAGGTTTCAAGGTAGGGTGTGAGGCCTTCACTACGGCAGTGACTGTGGCAGTGGACACCTGCATATATGCAACCATGTCACACCACACGTCAATGAATGCACGGGTCTGTGGATGACCTCGGGGTGCCTGGGGGTACCGGGGTGGGAGTGTCAGTCAGTGAGTGTGTGTATGTGTGTGTGTGTGCATGTCCCCAGGCACGTGCCAGTGCCCTGGAGTGTGCGCCAGGTACCACAGTAGGGTGTGCTGCTGCAGCTGTGCACCATCACCACCCCACTGCCGGTGCCCAGTACTGTGCAGTACAGGTGTGCCTTCCCCGGTGCCAAAAAGTATGCCAGTGCTGGTACGTATGTCAGTGTGCCAGTGCCCATTGCGGGTGCCCGGCTGTCAGCCCGATTGCTCCCCGTGCCGGTGTGGGTGCCGGTCCGAGTCCCAGTGCCGGTGCGACTCCCCGTGCGGGTGCCGGTGGGGGTGCGGGTGGCAGTGCCGGTGCAGGCACCAGTGCAGCTTCAGGTGCGGAGCTCCTCCAGTGCGCACGACGGTCACCTTGGCGGTGGAGCCGGGCAGAGCAGAGCTGTGCGGTGCGGTGCGACAGGACTGGGCACCGGTGCCCCCGCTCCAGCGACCCCCAGGTCGCCGGCCCCAGCCGCCCCCTCCCAGTGCCTGCGGGCCGCGCTCCGCCGATTCCCGTGCCCGCGGCTCCATCCGTCCGGCGCGGCCTCATCCCTGCCCGGCCCCGGTCCCTGTCCCGGCGGCGGCGCGGCTCCCGGTACGAGCCATGGCGGCGGCGAAAGCAGGCGGCGCTGCGGCGGCGGCAGGGGCCCGGAGCGGCCCGGGCGGGGAGCGGAGCTAGGCGGGAGGCGGCCCGGGATGGCCAGGATGAACGTGGCCCTCCAGGAGCTCGGACACGCCGTAAGTGCCGGGGCAGCAGCGGGGGTCTGGCCGGAGGCGGCAGCGGAGCAAGGAGGGAGCAACGGGCGGGGACGGGGACCAGAGGCACCGGATCGGGGGGCGGGGGGGCAGTCGGGGCAGAGGAGATCCCGGGGGCTGAAGGGCTCAAGGAGATGGAAAGGCTGGAGGGGCTGCGGGAGACAAGAGCCTGTGGGATGCGGGGGGCTGTGTGGGTCCGGGACTGGGGGAACTGCGTGGCTGGAGGGTCCCCGTGCCCTACGGTGGGGGAAAGAAGGGGAAAGAAAGACCCTTCAAATCCCTGCCTGTGGTTGGGCAAAAGGAGCTGGAGCAGTTCAGAGCCGGCCCCACAGACCTTGCTCTGCCGGGGCATGAAGCCCACCTGGGGTACAGTGATGCTGCTCGTAGGGTGCCCCTCAAGGCAGCACTCCTGGAAAGAACAGAGGGCCTTGTTCCTGCGGGTTTCAGCCCCACAGAGTGGGCAAGAGGAGCTCCAGGAGCACGTCCTCCTCATGCCTCGAGGGTGCCAGGAGGTGCTGGGGAGAGGGTGCTGCCAGATGGTGCCCAGGAGGATGAGGACCACCCAAGTGATGAGAGGGGAGTACTGGGGGCTGCGGGGGTGCCCAGCTGGCTGAGCTCCCACAGGATTCCAAGCTGTCCCTCCCAACAGCTTGGCAGTGGGATCCTGCCAGCTGTCAATCCCAGCCTCGCGCCCTCCCACTGCAGCAGCGTTTGGTGAAGCCCCCTCCGTGTTCTGGCGGTGTGGCACTGGGCAGAGCTGGACATGGGGCACTTGCTCTCCTTCTCCCCCTACCCATCATCCTTCCTGCTTGTTCCTTGTCTCCCATACCAGCCCTGCAGGCAGTCCCGGGGCATCCACCGTAGTCTGCAGCGCAGAGCTGCAACCCACTCGGGTGATCAGTCTGAAGCCAAAGGATGGCTCATGACCAGTAGCACTGCTGATTCTCTTCAACCAAAGCCTCCAGCTTTTTCTTCCAGCTTATCCCAGCTTCCAAAGCTGCTGGCTCAGCTCCACCACTTTTCTCTTGGCTGAATCCTTGGCAGCTCTCATGCCTGGATCGGTGCAAATTGCCCCTGCCAGGCTGTTCTGCAGGCCAGGAGGAAAGGGGACCCATCCCTGTCATCTTGCAGCCCCTGTAGTGCCCCCTATACCCCACAGTCTCTGCCCGCATGGGCTCGACCCTGCACCCTGGTCACTCCTAGGGCCAGAATAGGGCAGGAGGTGCTTTCAGATGTTTCGGAACGGTGCACATCTATCTGCATGGAAAGTTCCAGGCAGGGGAGGAGGGATGAGACAGCAGCACTAGGCAACGGTTGCTCGGCAACGGGGACCACGTCTCCTTGGCGATGTGGCACCTGTCGGCAGGGCTGATGCCACAGATGCCATGGCGACGCGGAGGGATGCTCAGGCGCTAGCCCCGGAGCCCCTCACAAGCAGCTCTCCCCGTGCTCCCCGGGGCCACCCGGGGCTGGGGACAACCTCTGGGGGAGGTCGAGGCACACCGACGGGGGCCAGGGGCTGTCCCGGCCCACCGTGAACTTGCTGAGCAGGCACCGTCCATCGCCGTAAGAGCCGGGAGGGGGGGCAGGGCGGGGGGCAGCCATCCCCACCCCTCGTCTTAGCCCACTGCCTCCCTCGGCAGATGCCCGACTACAAGCGTGCCACACTGCAGGACGACGATGGGTCAGAGCCAGCGGGGGATGGCAGCACCTCTCCCGACAGCATGGAGGTGAGGTCTGCCCCGACCCCCTCCATCCTTTCCCTCTCTATCCTCCCTGGACCCTCTCCTCACCCTCAGCCAGAGCCTGCCTGCAGCCGAATGGGCAGCAGCAGCAGAGCTGGGAGCCAAGCCAGCCTTGGCTGTCCCCAGGGATGTGCTGGGAGGCAGCCAAAACGCAGCAGTGTGCCTGGGCCACTGTCGTTCCTTGTGGCTGGTGGTCACCAGCACCCACTGCCAGCTTGCCGGGGCTGGTGCCCTGGTGACCCGCGGGGGGATGCCCTGGTCCCCACCTCGTCATGCTGCACCTCGCCATGCAGCTGAGCCACGCACGGGAGTGGGGAGGGTGAAGCAGGAGGGGCGAGGTTTGGTCCCCCCGTGGTACAATGGCAGGTCCTGCTCCTGCCCAGGTGGGGTTTCGGAAGGGGCCAGGGCCGCTGCTGAGCCGCCTGGCTTCTCGCAGCCAGCTGGAGCTGGTGCTCTGCGTTATCGCCATCTTCCTGGCCCTGATGCTCGGTGTCATTGTCGTCGCCCTGGCCATCCAGTACCGCAGAGGTAGGGAGAGGCCCTGCCAGGGTGGCAGTGGCATTCCCACACCTGGGGGGAACATGGCAGGATGGGGAGGTACAGGTCAGCTCGGGGCTCCCACTTTGGGTGCTCTGCCCATCCCTGGGTGCAGACAGGTCTTGGCCCAGCTCTGTGCCCAGGTTCCCCCGGCACATGCGCACAGCCCTGGGCATGCCTTCCCTGCCAGATCCCTCTCACAGCACGTGCCTGACGGATGCCTGCGTGCGGGTGGCCAGCAAGATCCTGGAGGCCCTGGATGTGGAGACAGATCCATGCCAGGACTTCTACCAGTACTCATGCGGGGGCTGGATCAAGAGGAACCCGCTGCCCAATGGGCGCTCCAAATGGAGCACCTTCAATAGCATCTGGGACCAGAACCAGGCCATCATGAAGCATCTTCTAGGTGGGCACCAAGGGGTTCATGGTGGGGGGTGACTTCTGGGCGCAGGCAGGCAGAGGCCCAGGATCGGCAGGGCTGACATGCAGCCTTCCGCAGAGAACACCACCTTCAACTCCAGCAGCGAGGCAGAGCGGAAGACGCAGCGGTACTACCTGTCCTGTCTCAAGGAGCAGAGGATAGAGGAGCTGGGTTCCCAGCCCCTCATAGAGCTCATCGACAAGGTGGGGCAGCCATCCACGCATGAGCTGAGCTCAGCCCAGCACATTTCCCACTTGGCTTTTCATGTAACTGGAGAGGGGGCAGCCCTCAGGGACGGATCCTACCCCTCCTTGAGGGACTGGGTCCATCTGCTGACAGATCGGGGGGTGGAACATCACTGGCTCCTGGAACCAGACCAGCTTCATGGAGGTACTCAAAATGGTGTCAGGCACGTACCGGGCAACCCCCTTCTTCACAGTGTATGTGGGTCCGGACTCCAAGAGTTCCAACAGCAATGTCATCCAGGTTGGTACCTTGGCAAGGAGGGGCAGCAGGCACTAGCGAGGCACCGCGTTGCCCATGCTGCCCCTCTCTCCCCCTCCAGGTGGACCAGTCGGGGCTTTTCCTTCCATCCCGGGATTATTACCTGAACAAGACCGCCAATGAGAGGGTGAGGCTGGGCACAGTGCACACTGCAACTGGGAGAAACCCATAGCAGTGGGGTGCAAGCAGTGCTGTGAGGCACCTGCACCCTGCCCATTGGGTGTCACAGTGCCGAGGGAGGTGGAATGAGCGGTGGCCAGTGCTGAGCCTGGGCTCGGGGTCTCACCAGGTCCTGGCAGCATACCTGGACTACATGGTGGAGCTGGGCACACTGCTGGGGGGAATCCCAGAGCCCACCCGCCTCCAGATGCAGCAGGTGCTGGACTTTGAAACCCAGCTGGCCAACATCACTGTGCCCCAGGCTGAGCGACGGGACGATGAGAAGATCTACCACAAGATGAGCATTGCAGAGCTGCAGGTGGGCACCGCACGGCACAGCTTGGGGAATCCTCTGAGGACACAAGGGGTGCTTGTCCAGTGGGACACCAAGGGTTCCAAGCTGCTGACCCCCTTCCCAGGACACCCTGGGCAGCCCCATCTGTTCTGGGACATGTGCTGGGTGCTGGAATGAAGGGCTCATCCTCCTGGTCGCTAGGATTTGGGAGAGCTGCCAACTGGCATGGGGGGGAGGGGGGGGGGTTGAGAGCAGCACTGAGAGCAGCAAGGAGCCACAAGAAAGGTGCTTGGGGCAGAGAAAGGATCTGGAGTGCTGAGGGACCTTTGGACCTTCCCAGGGAGCCCAGACCCTGCCCCAGAGGCTCCCCTCACACTGGGCAGGATGGGGCAGAGCCATGCCAAGCACCTCAGTGCTGTGTCCCCACGTCCTCTCCCTCCAGGTCCTGGCCCCCACCATCGACTGGCTGGATTATTTGTCCTACGCTCTGGCCCCGCTGGAGCTGGCCGACACGGAGCCTGTGGTGGTGTATGGGGACACCTACCTGCAGCAGGTCTCCGATCTCATCAATAGCACTGACAGGAGGTGAGGCCCCCTTGAGCAGCTGACCATTTGGGGCTGTCCCCATGGTGGGGGCATGCTGTGGGCTCACCGGTGGGTTGGAGGCTAGCATGTAGTGAGCCACAGCATCGCTCTACTCCTGCAGCATCCTAAACAACTACCTGATCTGGAACCTGGTGCAGAAGACGGCCTCCAGCCTGGACCAGCGCTTTGAGACAGCCCAGGAGAGGCTGCTGGAGACGCTCTATGGCACCAGGAAGGTAACAGGGACAGAGCCCCCTCTGCCCTCAGCCTCGAAGAAGTCAGAAACACCTTTACCGTTGGGATGCCCTTGGGATGCTCTGGATGCTGCAGAGGGAAGCCAGGGATCATCTTTTGGGGTGGGGGTTTAGTCACTGAGCATCTCCCCCCTAGGGAGGGAGCAGAGCTGGGCTGGGTGAAGGAGGGAGGCAGGGGAGGGGACTGGGGGTCTCACAGACCCCCATCTTGCTCCCACAGTCCTGCACACCTCGCTGGCAAACCTGCATCTCCAACACAGATGACACGCTGGGCTTTGCACTGGGCTCTCTCTTTGTCAAAGCTACCTTCGACCGGGACAGCAAAGCTATTGTGAGGACACTTCTTCCCCTGTCCCTTCCCCATCAGCATTCATGGGAATTCCTCCCCTTTCCCACCCATACCCCAGGGCTAGAAAGCATGGAGCAGTGAAATGGGACCCCCAGCCCTGGAGAGGTCCCACTCTCCCCACCCTGTCCCTGTCCAAGGGACTGTGGGGACAGCGGGGCTTCATTCCCTCCCCAGGCTGAGGAAATGATCAGCGAGATCCGGGCAGCCTTTGAGGTGTCCCTGGATCACCTGGACTGGATGGATGAGGCGACCAGACAGGCTGCAAAGGAAAAGGTGATGGGGGGGGGGCAGCAGGTGGGAGACCTTGTCCTGGTAAGCCTTCAGCTCCATCTCACTGCCAGGGCCTCTCCCCACACAGGCGGATGCCATCTACGACATGATCGGCTTCCCTGACTTCATCCTGGACAACAAGGAGCTGGATGATGTCTATGATGGGGTAGGAGAGCACCCGGGTTGTGGGGAGGGGTTGCAGCCTCCCCTTATACCAAGCCCTGGCAGGGCAATGTCCCTGTCTGGGGGACCCATTTGGGATGGGGCTTTGTGTGGAGTCATCCTGATACCAAGCGCATCCTAGCCATGGTGGGGGGAACCAGCCAGTGGGCTCTTCCTCATCCCTCCTCATCCTCACCAGTACGAGGTCTCGGAGGACTCCTTCTTCCAGAACATGCTCAACTTCTACAACTTCTCTGCCAAAGTGATGGCCGACCAGCTCCGGAAACCCCCCAACCGCGACCAGTAAGGGAGAGAGCCTGGGGGGAGCAGAGGATGTGACACTGCCAGTGCCACAGCACTGTCCCCAGCATGGCCTTGGTGGCACTGCTTCACTGCGGGAAGGTCCCCCTATGGGGTAGTGCACCACTGTATGTCCCCCGGGGTGCCTCTGGCTTGTCCACAGGACAGGATCCTTTGGTTATGGGCGAGGGTAAATGCGCCAGCCCTGGGCAGGGCAGCACACGGCACCCGTGGTGGGAGACAACACAGGAGGGTGGTGGGGCACTGGGGACAGGGGACACATCCCTACCTGCCCATGTCCCACCTCCCTGCCCCAGGTGGAGCATGACCCCACAGACCGTCAATGCCTACTACCTGCCCACCAAGAATGGGATCGTCTTCCCTGCTGGCATCCTGCAGGCTCCCTTCTATGCCCGCAACCACCCCAAGTGAGCCTGGCACAGGGATGGAAGGATCTCCGGGGGGTGGGGGGGGGGGGGGAGCATGGGCTGGATCAGGGCCGGCACCCCACAGCCCCACAGAGCCCCCCACAGTCATGAAGCAAAGCCCTGGGAGGCCTGAGGGTCCCCCAAGCCTTTACATCCTGCAGCCAAGACAACCACCTGTGGGGCCACCTGTGTTCCCAACAGTACTCATTCCCAGCTAGGTGCCAACTGGACCAGAGGCTCACTGAGTCCTCTGAACACAGATGGGGTGCCATTTGTGGAGGGGGTGCTTGGGCCACAGCAGGCTGCAGTGGCAGCATTCTCCTGCACTTACCTGTCTCTCTCTCATGGCCCAACAGAGCCCTTAATTTTGGTGGCATTGGTGTGGTGATGGGACACGAGCTGACCCACGCTTTCGATGACCAAGGTGAGAGCCCATGGGCAGTGCTGGCTCCAACCCCCATCACCTTCCTGCCCCCACCACCTCGAGGGTGTGGAAGGGTGCCATGAGCTCACGGGGGTTCTGCTTTGCCATCCATTGCATCATGCGTGCTCTTGCCCTCCTGGCCCCCGCTTCTACCATCCTGTCTCCCCAGGTGGCACCCGCCGATACCTCCCCCAGGCTTCTCTGTGCAGCTTTCGCTCCATCCGCTTGGTGAGGACACAGTGTCTGCAGCCCCCCTCATCCTCCTCCCTGAGGGGTGCAGGACACGTCCCACTCACATCCACTCTGCTCTGTGCTGAGATGGGGTCAATGGGGGAATTTGGGGTGACAAATGTGGCTTGGGACAGTGGGGATACATGAGGGGATGGCTGGGGACCCGAGCACAGGCTGAGCTCCAGCCAGAGTCCACACAGAGCAGGGATAGTGGGAGGTTATCTCCCCTGGGCATGGACCCAAGGTGCCAGGTCTCCTGGTGTCCGCTTGGGCTGTCCTACCCTGCTTCAGGGCCCCCTGCAGCTGGGGCTTTGCAGAGGACCAGTGTCCCCTGGTCCCACCCATGGGATGATCCCACAGGACGGGAGTACGACAAGGAGGGCAACCTGCGGCCGTGGTGGCAGAACTCCTCCCTGGAGGCCTTCAAGAACCGGACGGCATGCATAACAGAGCAGTACAGCCACTACACTGTTCACCGTGAGAAGGTCAATGGCCGGCAGACGCTGGGCGAGAACATCGCTGACAACGGCGGGCTCAAGGCAGCCTACAACGTGAGTGCCACTGTCCTGAGAGGATGCAGACCCCTGTGTCTTGTGTCTGTCAGTCTCTCCATGAGGCTTCAGGGCGTCTCTCCCATAGGCGTACAAATCCTGGCTGCAGAAGAACGGGGAGGAGAAGCGCCTGCCAGCCCTGGAGCTCACCAACCATCAGCTCTTCTTTGTGGGCTTTGCACAGGTAGGGCAGAGCCAGATGGTGGGTTCCTTATCCTTCCCCTGCTCCTCAGAGACCCCCGCAGCGCCCCACCAATCCTGCCCCTCCCTGAAGCTGCTCCTGCTCCATTAGGTGTGGTGTTCCGTCCGAACACCCGAGAGCTCCCACGAAGGGCTGGTGACAGACCCCCACAGCCCGGACAAGTACCGCGTCATCGGCACCCTCAGCAACTCCAGGGACTTTGTCGAACATTTCGGCTGTCCCCTGGGCTCCCCCATGAACCCCGGCAAGCACTGTGAGGTGTGGTAGGGACGGGGAGGGTGCTGGGGACAGAGGGGACGATGCTCTGCTGTGTGCCCCCCCCGCCCTCGCCGGCTGCCGGCGGTGGCCCACAGGCAGAGCGCGGGGCCACTCCCCGAATCACCCTCCATCGTGGTCCCCACCGTGCACACACCGCGCGCCTCTTCGCCCCATCTCTGCCCCTCTCCCCAGCACATACCGGGCACCCACCGCAGCCCCATCCACAGCCTGGAGCCGGACATGGCCGGCAGAGAAGCCGTAGCGCCCCCAAAACGCAGCTCTGCCCCCAACCCTGATGTGCTACAGACGGGCACAGCGCAGCCCCCCCAGGGCCACGTTCACCCCGTGTGGGCAGGCAGAGGGGTCCCAGGGAAAGCATTAGAGCTGAGTCCCCCCGACCTGCCGGAGATGGAGGCTGGGGGCCACCTGACTCCGCTCTTCCTCCATCCCCTCCCGATCCGGCTTGGCTTCCCCATCCACCTCTGCTGGGATCAGCGGGCGACAGCGGGGACTCTGGTGCCTTCCGCTGTGGGTGGCTGTCGCTGAGTTTGTTTGACGATTAAAAGCAGTTTCCACTTACTCTGGCGGCTGCGCGTCCTTCGCGGTGCCGGTGCGGGAGAAGTGGGCTCTGGAGCAGGGGGACGACTCAAAAGCCGGGGGCGAGAGGGAGATGAAACATCCCGAGGGAGGGGAGCGGGAGATGAGGCATCCGAGGGACCAAGGGATGGAAGCAGGGGATGAACTGTCTTGAGGGGCAGAGGGAGGGGCGCAGGTGTGCGAAGAAGGAGGCAGTATCCGCAGAGCTGACCCTCAGCCCTGCCCCAAGACGGCTGCGGGTCACCGAGGGCAGGGCAGGAGCCGGGCTGGAACAGCCCCGCTGGGAAGGGAACGCCGGTGTAAGGAGCAGCCACGGGGACCCATTGCCCCGAGGCGGGGGGGGGGGCACGGGTGACATCCTGCTCTGGGGCCCGCCCCTGCACAGGGGTCCCTCCGTGTGCACTGGGACCCCACAAACCCGCGGGGAGCAAGGCCACAGGGGTTCGCAAAGGCCGCCAGGAGTTGTAGTCCTGCGCACAGCCCGACGGGAGCTGTAGTTCGGCGCGAGGGACGCTGGGAGTTGTAGTTTCAAGTGCTGCAAGCTCCTCTGCCGGGCCCCGGGGACCGCACTGCATTTCCCAGCAGGCAGCGCGGCGGGGCCAGGGTCCGGGCCTAGGCGCCTCGGGGGCTGCGGGGGCCAGCGGTGCCAGGCCGGCGTGAGCGGCTGCGGCGGGGCTGGGCGGGGGGTCTGGGACCGGGCCGGGTGCTGGGCCGGAACTGGGGGTGTCGGACCTGGGTGGCACCCTGGGTGCAGGGCCTAGGCTGGGTCACGGGGGCTGGGCCCCGGCCCGACCCTGGGTGCAGGGCAAAAGGGGCGCTTCTGGAACCCGACTGGGCGAAGTGTTCTACGTCGGGCCGGGGCTGCCGAGCTCCTGTGGGTGCTGGAGCTGAATTACCTCCAGCCGGGGCCAGGGACAGGCTTGGCCCTAGGGCAGCAGCGTCCTGGGGACGAGGGCAGTGGGACGTCCCTGCTCTGGGGACAGGGACGCTGGGACATCCCTGCCCCTGTGCCTTGCCCTGCCCCTGTGCCTTGCCCTGCCCTCCAGCCAACACGCTCACCTTGCAGGCGTGCTGCCCGAGCCTGGCACCATGGACGCACCACTCATTACACCTGGGGAGCTGCTATGTCTGGGCTCCAGCCTTGCCTTCTCCGGCCTCTTCTACTACCTCTACAGGAAGAAAACCAGAGTTGTGGCACGCATACAGGTACCCTGTCCCTCAGATGCTCTCAACCCCCACTGTCCCTTCCCTGCTGCCCAGAGCCTTTGATTTGGGCACACCTCACTGATAACTGCAGCCTGCTGCATCTTCTGTTGAGGTCACCATGCCTAGGACCAAGCAGGTTGTCCTGCCAGAGATCCCCACAAAGCCATGTGTGACCCACCTGCCAACCCGTCTGCCCCTGCCCAGGTTCACTCTCAGTCTCTGCTCTTTTAGGAGGCTCCAAAGCTCCAGGTTGATGATGATTTACCATCATTGGTGTCTGCGGCTGATGGGAGGTGCCTGCCTTATGTTGCTCTGGAAGGTAAGGAGACCCCGTGGCCCCACACTGGGGACAGAAGCTGGGCTCTCCTTTAACCTTAATGCATTCTACGGTCCTTAGGCATAGTGCTGCCAGCCAAGGCTGCGCTGACGAGCCATTACCATGAGAGGCTGCAGGGTGTGATCCAGAAGCTGCTTCTGAAAGAGCATCGGCTGGTCTGGAACAGCTTGGCCCGGAGCTGGTGAGCAATGGGAGGGGACAGCAGGGGGGCAGGCTTGTATTGGTTGGCCCAAACCCCCATACTCTGGGGCCACTGGCAAGGCAGAAATTGGCTTGGTTAAAGGCTCTAGTCCCTACCCTTGGCTCTGCCCCAGGAGTCCAGAGTTCCTCCATATTGTCCACATCCCCATGCTGTGCTCTCCGCTTGCAGGAGCGAGAGTGAGCGGGTGCTCTCAGAGCAGGTCTACACTGTCCCCTTCTTGCTGGCCTCACCGGACACTGAGGCAGTGACACAGGTGAGCGTGGAGAGCCCGCTCCGAGCCGTCTGCCTGCCACTGGAGGTGGTGTACGAGAGGTTCCAGCAGCCGGCCCACGGCTTCCGTGACCTGCTGGGGCAGTACTTGAGTGGGGAGAAGCCCAAGGGCATCCTGGAGACAGAGGAACTGCTGCGTGTGGGAGCTGGGCTGACGGGCATCGGGGAGCTGGCCCTGCACCCAGACGGCTCCCTGCACCTCCAGCCGCCATCTCAGGGGGGCGACTATTTCCTGTGCCTGGGGGACTGGCAGACGGTGGTGGAGGAGCTGGAGTCTGCCAGCGGGCTCTGGAAGGGGGCGGCCATGCTGTGTGCCGCGGCGGGCCTGGCCATTCTGCTGCACGCCCTGTGCCGTGCCTTCCGCCGCGCCCGCCTCAGGCAGCAGCGTGAGGACAAGGAGCTGGACAGCGAGGAGGCCGGGGATGGGGGGCTCGAGGACTCCTGTGTCATCTGCCTGTCGCGACCCCGTGAGTGCATCCTCTTGGGCTGTGGCCACATCTGCTGCTGCTTCCGCTGCTTCCAGGCCTTGCCTGCCCGCCTCTGCCCCATCTGCCGGGGGCCCATTGACCGCGTGGTGCCCCTCTACCAGGCCTGAGAACATTTAAGGGGCAGCCAGAGATTGTTAACACAAAGCGAAGCAAGCTTGGGGCCTGCAGTAATCTCAGCTGTCCCCTGGTGTGCAGTTGTGTGATTCCTGTTGGGGGAGAGGGGTCCTGGTGTGCCGCCCCCTGTTTTTTGGGGAGGGTGGGGAGTTACAGCCTCCTCATGCTCCCTTTTTGTGCCAGAAGCCCCTGCCCCCCCGCAACATGAAGGCTTGGGGAGAACATGCTTGGTGCCTGAGCTGAAGAGCCAAGTCCCCTGCCCCACGCCGGGATGCCTTTTTCCCAGCCCTGACCCCTCCAAAACCGTGTGGGACTTTTGTTTTTCTAGTGTGTGGCTTTATGAGGAGCGTGGCAGGGGCAAGACCAGGGCTGGTGAGACACAGTGGGGTGACAGAGACCCAATTTCCCCTGGGTCACCGCAGTGGTACACTTTAGTGCCACCGTTGTGCTCCCTGCCCCATGTGCCTACAGCCACTGCCCAGACCATGCCCAGCACCCAGGGACTGGCAGCAATGAAGTGTGCCCCTTCACCATCTGCAGTGCCACCCAGGAAGGAAGAGTGTCCCTCTGCCATCTCTGCAGAGTCCCCACTCCTCTGGAGCAGGGGCACAGCCATAGGGCACTCCAGAGCCTGCCCTCTGGGCCCTTCTGCACCCCGCTTTCCTGTTTGCCTCCTGGCTGGGACTGAGTGCAGGCACAGCTTGTGGTGGTGTGTGGAGTGATAAAGACAAGGAGTGGAGCTTGGCCTCGCCTCTTCCTTTGCACCGTCAAGTCGGGGGACTGGAGGGACATGGCAAGAGCCAAGGCTCTCCTTGGCAGGGGGGGAAGGAAGGGAGAGGGGACAAGTCAGTGCCATCACCGCCATCCTCCAGCCTCAGCACACTCACCAGTGGTGGGCAGGGGTCCCCCAGCTGGACTGCATCACCTCGCGATACAGCCCCAGAGGTGGGGGAAAAGCGGGACTGTTGCCAAGGCGATCATGCTCCTCTGGTCTCCATGGCAACTGCTCCCTGGACTGCTCCCCATCACTGCCTGGCTGCAGTTGCCCAGGCAACCCACGGGCTCTCCTGGCTCCTGCGGCTTTGGGGCACCCAGGATTTATTTGGGGGGGGGTGGGGAGAGGGGAACAGGCCAGCACTGGCAGCCAGACAGCAGTGTTGGGGTAAGAGGGGATGATGCCCCTTCCCATGGCAGGGGCCCCCATTGCTGCCAGTTTGGGGCAGGGACCATGCTTGGTGCAGAGGTGCCCCTGTGGTGTTGCCCCTATAGCTTGCAGTCAGCAATGATGCCCCGGAAGACCCAGCAAAACCTCCTGGGACCCATGTGCATTTTTGGGGTAGGGGTGTCTGTGTGGCTCCCTTCCTCCACCCCACCCAGTGTCTCAGCTCAACTTCTTCCCCATGCCAGCATGGTGAGTGCCACACTGCAAAGTGAGCAGTGGGGCCTGGGTGTTCCCCCCGCTCCAGAACCGGGCACCCCCCCGCAGCAAGGAGAGATTTCGGGAAGGAGGTAAATACCAGATGGGCGAGGGCCGGGCTGCCAGGAACACACTCCTAGTGTGCCAAGAGCTGCTGGCGTGCGTGGGCCGGGGAGGGCGGCGGGTGCCCGTGCTCCAGAGACTGCTCACCTCGTTCCCCGCAACCACCCGGGGACAGGGACACCCAGAGAGGGACCCGCAGCCACTCGCTGCCCTCTGTCCACAGGGGGGCCACAGTTGCCCAGGGAACACATCCCTGCGCACACGGAGGGTACCACCCCACGCTGGGCACAGCCCTACCCCACACCCCTCGGGGGGCCCTACCACCCCGGGGGAGCCACCAGCCCCGCGGTGGCCTGGACCTGGCTGAGGAGCCCTGCCTGGCGCGGAGCCGGGCGGCAGCGTGACTCAACCGCTCAGCTCAGCAACAGCCAAAGACTGGCCGTGCCAAACCGCCCGGCAGAGGGGCTGTCCGGCCTTGCCGCAGCCCGCACCGCCGCCGAGCCTGCTGTCCATCGTCCCTCAGGGTCTTCTGGTCTGGAGCAGGGAGCTCGCAGTCCTGCACTGAGCCCTGCCTAGCCTCCGTCCCCACCATGCAGGGCCCAAGAGGGACCCACGCACCCTGCAGGGTACCCGTGGGTGCCAGCCCATGGCCATGTCCCCATCCACACCCACAGGGCTGCCAGCCCACTCCGGCCTGTCTCTCTGTCTGTCGTCATGGTGACCGTGATGTGGTGACAGACGAGGATGGAGCCTCACGCCCCAGCAGGGCTGTTTGGGTCTGGGCAGGGAACCCTCTACAAAGTCCCTGCCCCAGGCAGAGTGCTGAGAGTGCTCCACCTGCTCAGGTGCAGCCCTGGCACCACCGGGACCGCAGCTGTGCCCGGG